ACGCACCAACTTTCGAACCTTCAGGAACTACGTCCCTGTCACGGACCATTATTGATGATCTACCAAGCATTTTTGGCAAGGTTAACATTCCTGACATCGTCAAACCGAGAAAGTCCAAAGCTGTCGCGATTGTGCATCCTGAGGCACCTGTCAACCGCATTGAGCAGACCGACCAAGACTTCGAAGATGAAGAAGGTAGAGCCGCGCAAGGCGATGACCGATTGAAGAGGCAGCGTTTCGGGGGGGATGACGGTGATGAGGTCCCAAGGTTTGCAGAGCCAAGTCCCATGCCCGATCCAGCAGACTTCGCGCCAATGCCATTCCAGCTTAACGGCGAGAGCATAGTGTCCGAGGCCGCTGCCGAGAACACTATAGCTCCAACTACGGCGACTGTGTACGGCAGCGATGTTGAAACCTCCGCTATCAATGGCGCTACTCAAGATAACCCTGGTAGTTCAGACCGAGATGCACCCCTAGAAGCGAAAAGTGGCCATAATGTCTCAAGCTCCCTATCTGCACTGGCTGTGCCTTTCGAGCCTCCTTTGGACCTTCCGGCAACCGTCGACGATCCGGAAGACGCAAGCACGGACCACTCAGACTCTGTCAGCGATGTCGAGGAGGGTGAGATTGTCGAGGATGTGTCCGTAGTCTCGCCCGAGCACGTTCGCGAGACTTCGATAGGCACCGACTATTCGCTTCCACATGCCGAAGAGTTCACCGTTCTTCCTGCGAGCCAGCGAATCGATATGGTCGCCCATGCCGAACCTTCGTTCGACGAGATAGACGCCGTTATGCGTCACCTCAATGAGGCTGATTCTGGCGCTGGACTGATTGGCGAAAGTGATCGCGCAATGTCGCCGCTACCTCATCTTGACGATCAGCCTATGCCCGGCGTCACATACCTTCCTGGGTGGTCGAGAAGCGATGCTCCGAGTCCGAGCCCAAAGCGGAATCCGCTCAAAGATGCTCGTGCGCCTTCGTACCACACTCATACTCGTACTGACAGCGGTGAGCGAGGCATGGGTGGATGGGCGAACGTCACCCGCCTCAACAAGGCGGAGGAAATGCCAACGAGCGATTGGTCAGATGTACTTTCCCCCCCGGAAGCCGAAAAACTTGAGCACCGCAGTGCATTCTTCGACAGTCACATCGACGGCCTCATTGGGAGGGTAGTCGAGAGGCGTCTACAACCGTTGGAGGATAGCCTACGCAGTATTCAGCAACACGTCAGCAAACGTAGCAGATCGTCCGACCAACCACATCTGAAGCGAACATCGTCCACCGCCGAGAGCGATGCAGACGATGAAGACGAACTCTCTGACACTGCTCGTCTGCGACCTGTCTCGCGAGGAAGAGACAAGCGTATTGACCACATCAAGCTTGCTGTTGTTGAAGCGATGCGAGAGCATAGTCCGTGGCATTCGCAGTCTTCCAACGATATAACAGACCTTCATACTGCTTTGGCCGACATGAAAGTGTCGTTTGCGAGAGCCGCATCTGCGAGTCTCGATCTTGATGATATTCGGGCTGTCGTGGAGGATGTGCTCCGTAGCCAGGCGGACGTGTTGGCGCCGCTGCACAAACGTGACACATCGGAACTGGAGGGCAAGTTGCAGGAGACACTTGCAGGTGCACTTGAAGAGGCGAATGTCCGGCGTGTTGCTGAGGAACGTGCTGCCGAAACGCACCGAATGCTACGCTTGGCTGAAGAGGAACTGGCGTTGCTGCGCGACGCTTCCCGTGACGAGGATCACAGGCTTGCAGCCATGCAAGATGAACGCCGGGAACTACTCGATCGGTGCGAGAAGGCGGAGGACGCTCGCAAAAGTGCTGAAGAGCACGCCGGGAACATCGAAGCCGAGAATGAGGCGCTGCAAGGAACACTGGAAGAGTACCGTACATCGAGTAGCAAGTGGCGGCACGATGTCGATGATGGTCAGCTTGAGCGCGCAGAGTTACAAGCTACCATTGCTGGCCTGGAGCGTCAAGTAGAAGAGACCCATGAATATAGAAGCAGCATGGGGCGTCGACTCGAGAACTTGCACGCTGACATGGCTACCGCCGCAGGCCAGCTTGCGAGCGAGAAGGCGATGGCAAGGGCCTCACAGGAAAAATATCGTGCTCGCTGCGAGACTCTTGAAACGCAGCAGGACACCAATACCAAAATGCGCGACCATGAGTTGCATATGCTGCGCGCTGAACTTGTCGAGCAAACATCTTTGGCCACGAGGTACGAGAGTGAGATTCGAGTGGCTACAGAAGCTGGCCAGCAGGCCCATACCCTTCGATCCGAGCTTGCACAGGAGCTACACGAGGTTCGCGCTGAGCTCAGCCAAGCAAGGGCAGATGCGGATATCGCCATAGCGAAGCATGCCCGTACACTGGAAGCAAAGGAGGATGACAGCCGCCACTTCCTACGTAAGGTCCATCACGAGGCAGAAGAAGCGCGCCAGAAGCTCGACAATGACCTCCAAGAGCTCACGGAACGGCACGATAGGGCGTTGCACAATGCGATCGAGGACAAGGAACGTTCCGAATACATTCTCAACGAACGACTCGACTTGGCTGATGCTAAGCTTCGGCACGCTCATGATCGGATAAGTCACCTTGAGGAGCGGCTGGAGATTGCAAAATCAGCTGCCCAGGCAGCCGCGACCAGCGCCCAGAGCAAGGCTGTTTCATTCCCGTCAACATTGCGAACCAACGCTCTGCCAGAAAAGGTGTCACCCCAAGCCCTTCGCGAGTCAATTTTGGTGTTGCAAGAGCAGCTCCACGATCGCGAATCTCAGATCGAGCGCCTCCAGAGTGATGTGGAAACAGCAGGTGAAGAGAAGCTGCGCGAGCGCGAGTCGGAGATTACATGGCTGCGTGAGCTTTTAGCCGTCCGGAGCGATGATCTCACAGATCTCATCGGCACTCTTGCACGACCTACGTTCAATCGAGATGTTGTTCGCGACATCGCAATCCGTATTCGAGCCAACCTTCAGATGGAGCAGCAAGAGAAGGAGCGCTTCGGATACTCATCCCAGTCTCTCGGCGGTCAAGCTCTTGCTGGTTTGACGAGCTTCGCAACACCGAAAGCCTCATCACTCACCTCGGTGTTCAACAAATGGCGGTCTACAATGGAGAGCTCGTCACTCAAATCGGCACGGCAAGGCATGGCACCAGCGCGCTCGTCTACACCCACCAAGAGTGTCACAAGACCAGCGAAGCCTGACAACTTCATGGCTGGATTGATGACACCACCAGCAAGTACTTTACGGCAGACGCCGAGTCCAGAGCCCGCAACCACGCTATTGCGTCCACTTCTAGAATCGATGCCAGCCTCGGAATTTCACGCAGAAGACAACGCACCATTTGATTCGTCTGAAGGACCCACAACGCCTTTGCTGCGAGAACAAAGCTACGACATGGATGCAGAGGACAGCAAAGTCCACATGCAAAGCTTCGAGGACGACGACGACCTCGACGTCTCCGACACCGCACCACCTGCCTTCCGAAGTCTGGAGGACGAGCTTTGATCGTGAACAGACATTTTCCTTTGTTGATATTGTATAGGGCAGCGAGGTATCGGCGCTAAGCCTGGTCGCTCTGGTTGCATGCATATACTGGCGCATGATGCTCCTCGCGATATACCCAGACTGGTAGTGTTGGATTTGTATTGGCTGTGAATAATATAAGATGATAAATAGCGTAATTATGGTGTACACAGTATGGATGCTCATCCGCCGCAGTAACTGTATCCTTCACCTCGTGAGCTCGTTCTCAGTTTCTGCGCTGGTTGCCAGCTCTCCACAGAAAGCTACATCACCTCGACATCAACACTCTCGGCGAATACTAATCGACATCAATACACTAGACCATGCGTATGACCATGTTCACCACGGATGCCTCCAGCCGCTCGATCTTGATCATCAATCCCAACACGACCGTGGCCGTGACAGATGGTTTGCGGCCAGTTGTCGATAAGCTTGGGTTCGACAATGTCAGTTTCACAGCATATTAGCAAACTACAACGACTAAACCATGCGGTAGACACACTTCCAATACTTTACCGCACCGAGTGGTGTCTCGTCGATCAACAACGAAGAAGATGCAGCTGTATCCGCAAAGGCGTGTCTGCCGGCGTTGAGAGATAAGCTGAAAGACCACGATGCGTTCTTGGTCTGCTGCTACTCTCAACACCCACTGGTATCTCAACTACGAGCCGAGCTCGTCCAACGTGGAATGGGCAACAAGCCTGTAACCGGCATCTTCGAGGCTTCGGTAGCCGCTTGCTTGCAGTCCATCCAGATTGACGAGAAGTTCGGCATCGTCAGTACGGGAAGCCAGTGGAAGGAGATTTTACGTGACGCTGTAGCGAATTTTATGGGCACCGAAAATAGTAGTCGTTACGCTGGTACCGAGACGACAGGTATAGATGCTGTCGAGTTGCATTCGACGGCGAAGGACGAGGTTGACGAGCTAATGAAGCAGGCCACAAAGATTTTGCTAGACAACGGAGCAAAGGCTATATGTTTGGGATGTGCTGGTATGGCTGGAATGGATCAGACGGTCAGAGAGGCTTGTGTTGAAACTTTGGGAGAGGATGAGGGGAGGAGAGTGAAGATTGTGGACGGTGTGGTGAGCGGTGTTGTGCATCTTGAGGGTACGCTGCGGCAAAGTCTGTAGAAGTCAAGTATGTGCCTAATGCATATTCTCTACTGGTGTCCCATTTTAGTGACATTCTCAAGGTATCGACTGTGAGCTTTCTTTCGAGTCTTGCGTGTCGCCCGAGTCATCAGAGGGGGAGCTCAGTCAATCAGTACCAAGCCAAGCAGTACTGGGGAACGACGGTGACCTCTTTGTGGGTGTCATTTCTACTGTGCATGTAGCCCCGGTTCTTCCTCGGGCATCAACAACATAAGTACATATTGGAGTAGAGCTTCGAACCCCTCATTCATCCTAGAATGAAGGGGTCGCTTAGCTCAGGTAAGACTTTCTTGAGATTAGATAGCTGCGAGCTTTCACTAACATCATCCAGTTGGTTAGAGCGTGGTGCTAATATCTCAGTCTCCGGACTGTGCCACATACGCCAAGGTCGCGAGTTCGACCCTCGTAGTGACCATTGTTTTGCATGCGTGAGGTGTGCTGTCGATGTTTTGTGGTCATGGAGGTGGTGGTGAGGGAGTTTTGGCCAGTGTGCGGTGAAAAGTCCGTTTTAGGAAGTTGTGGAGTGATGCCAAGCGTTTTGACCAGAACGTGCGATGGCCGGACGTTACAGGCGCAGCTTCGCATTCCCCTCAGTACGTAGTGTGATGAGAGTTCCGGAGGCAGACAGTACCGCTATTTTGTGCGAGGTTCGTCGACGGTCTCGTCTCCGGCATACACCTTTCGAGCCGTCCTACCCGTCAACGTGGCATACCATTGCGGGGCACAGCGTCCAGTAGTACTGTGGAGCGGCTAAAGAAGGACCCGCTAGAGCTCACGACAGACGGACGCAGGTCCCGATCTGTCCGAGATGCTGTGATCGTGCCGGATACGACTCTGTAATTCTGCCTGACACCTTCCGGGACGGGCGGCAGTCCTGGCGAGCTGCAGTAAATATTGATTGAAGTCGGGGATGCGGAGAGTTAATGTGCTGGACGCGTCTCCTTTGGCAGGTCGTCCATCCTGGTGCATGCTCGCCGTCCGATCGTTGGTCGCCAGCGCCGTGTCTTGTACGCGCAGTCGTAGGAGCGTGCAACACTTCGGTGACTTGATCAATATGGGCATCAACAAAGAACACGAACCGTGATTGAAACGAGAAGCGTCTCCTGATTTAGCCACTCTGCAGGCGAGCTTGGAGAGACCCCTGTTCACCTCCACGTTGACCACATCTCCGACTTCCGCGCATGCACCTGAAGTCCACCTTCGCGTCCTCACTTTGCCACCTCTTCTTCATCAACAACATCCTTCTCTTCACATCCGTCTTCCCTTCTTTGCCTTGCACGCGACTTTGTTCAATAGAGCCCCAACACGGCTAGTCTTGTGACGACACCTCCTTGCTTCCTCGACTGGACCAGCCGAGCAACCGCACCTTGACCTGCCGAGAATATTGGCGTCTGGGCCGCATCACGCCCGCGTCGTACAACACCCCTTCAACAACAAAGACGCCGCGAACACCAGGACCGCCAGGCGTGACCGCGTCAAAACCACAAGCAGCGAAGTGTGAACATCATCAAAAGGTACAAAATCCCACGAGTCCATAGCATCCACAACCTCACTTCACGATGGACACTTGGCAAGCTGCGCAGAGCTGGTTGCTTTTCAGCGGCGTTGCGGGCTGCTTGGGTGCATACTATTACTACTCGCAGCATGGCGGAGCGTCGGCGCCTCGTCTTGACAGACGGCGAGTTGAGCAGGAGGCTCGTGGCCGGACGGAGCGTGCTGAGCGCGACTTGAAGCCTGCGTCGAAGAAGGGTACAGATGCGACTAAGAAGCGCAAGGCATCCAAGCCAGAGCCAGCGCAGACACAGCCGACCCCGGAGGTCGTCGTGCAGCAGGATGCGCGAGAGGAGAAGGAGGATATGAGCAACAGACATTTTGCTGAGCAGATGTCGAAAGCGAGGAAAGGGGCAGATTTGAACGCGCCGAAGAACAAGGAGAATCGCGTCAAGACAGTGAAGCAGGGCAGCGCTATGAACACACCAGCAATCTCTTCCGGCTCCTCGCAGACGGGTGGAGATGCCGACGATGATATGTCGCCGGCCGGATCGCCTGCTCTCCCAGCCGGCGACGTCTCTGACATGTTGGAGCCCGCTTCCAAGGGTCCGACCACTCTTCGCTTGACTGCGCCAGCCCAGCCGCAGAAGCCCAAGATGGCAAAGCAGACGAAGCAGCAAGAGGTGGAGACCAAGAAGCAGCGTCAGAACAAGGAAAAGAAAGCAGAGCAGCAGCGTCAGCGCGAGGTGGAGGAGAGGGAGCGCAAAGTTCTTGAGAATAACCAAAGAAAGTCTGCGCGGGAAGCGCGTGGTGAGCCTGCAAAGAACGGCATTCCGGTCTCCAAGCCGCCTGCGAACAATGCCTGGACGGCTCCCAAAGCTCAGGGAGAAGCGCCTACCACGAACGGCCACACGAACGGCCCGTTACTGGACACGTTCGATGCCGAGTCCACTGCCAGCTCCAATGGCGGTCCAGAACCCAGCACCGCAGCTACTAGCACTACTGAGGCCGAGGCAACTGACCGTGATCACGACAAGCTGTCCGAGGAGGAGCAGATGGCTATGGCGGTCAAGCAGAGCGAAGACGAGTCCGGATGGACGACTGCTGCGCCAAAGAAGAAGCTGTCCAAGAAGAAGCCTACCAACGACGAGGCTACCGGCACAAGCACGCCTGTTGAGGCTGCCCCTGTAGTGAAGCCCACGCCTGCTATCAGCAAGCCTACGGTTAACGGAACGCCAAACGGGTTCCTCGCGTTGAACGATCATGGTGATGCGAGCGACCCGTCCAGCTGGGACCCGTGAGCACGGCACGGATTAAGACTGCACCAGCAAGCTAATATGTACCATGGATCGGAACGAGCTCGAATCGAGGACATGTCTTGGCCTTTACGGCCGGCTGGAAATGCATTGCGCAGGTAAGTAAAAAACGTCCTAGCATTCACACAGGCGCGATATGGTGCGGTGGGATGGTTTGACAGGACTTGTGGGATACGGGAATCACGTCATGGAGTCTTTATGCGGGAGCAGCGATGCGGCTGTACCATTGTGGTTCATGCGAAGCGAAGCGGAGTTGGCGAGACTCGAGATGCGAATGAGCGGAGCGTATGACCTTCTACTTGTCCTTTGCCAGAATCGTTCAGTACATTACCGACCCAATGCAGTCAGCTCGTGCCTGAGAGTCAGCTTGAGCCACCCACTACTTCACTTCTATTTTCTGCTGTCGAGGTTACATTCCTCGACACTATATGAACGTGGGTCGTCAGTAGCCAGTTCTCAACTGCTCCATTGTGTCCTCACACCGTCAATACGCTTTTGCCTCTTTGTTCATTGTTCCAGGATCGTTGCTTTCCGGATCATCATCAAAAAGACACCTTGCACTTGGCTTCCTTTCCCGCACTTCACCCCACATCCTCATCCACCGCTTCTGGTTTTCGAGCTTGCAACACCACTTGCACGCGCAGAAGTGTATTGCTACGAGGCGTACACAGCCGCTCCTCAAATACCAGACGCTGCCGGCAGCTCGACCTCGCCACAGACGGTTTCTACAAAGCCCGAGGCATCGCACAGTCAGCTCAGCGGCACAACATCCTCACAACATCACTTCAGCATGGCACAAATCAGAGGTACCGCGGGTTACCATCTCGGCAATCAGAACAACAACAATTTCGGAGGCATGGGCAATATGGGCGGACCACAGAGACAGGATGCGACGAACGACCCATCTCCACTGGCTGCCATTCGCGCGCAGACGAGCAAGATCGAGGACTGGCTGGACACGATCAGCGATCCGCTCAAGCCTTATCTGCCTGCTATTGGAAGGTTCTTGATTGTCGTCACGTTCTTGGAGGATGCGTTGCGGATCATGACACAGTGGAATGACCAGTTGGTGTATCTGCACGATTACCGGCATAGTAAGCGCATACCACAGATACTCGTCCTGAGAGACGGTCATGCTAACGTTGTGCAGTACCACAAGGTATCACCCACCTCTTCCTCATCCTCAACGTCTGCGCCATGACCACCTCGTCCCTCCTGATCATCATTCGAAAGTACTCGGAATACGCAGTCATGGGCCTCATCGCAGTCGTCGTCACGCAGGCGCTCGGCTACGGCCTGATCTTCGACCTCAACTTTTTCCTGCGCAACCTCAGCGTCATGGGCGGTCTACTCATGGTCCTCTCAGACTCATGGGTACGGAAGAAGTTCGCGCCTGCTGGTCTGCCGCAACTCGACGAAAAGGATCGCAAGATGTACTTCCAGCTTGCTGGAAGAGTGCTGCTCATCTTCTTGTTTGCTGGCTTCGTGTTTGCTGGCGAGTGGAGCGCGGGCAGACTGGTTGTCATCGCCATTGGCTTCGTGGCATGTGTGATGGTGGTTGTGGGTTTCAAGGCCAAGTGGAGTGCTATCATCCTCGTCATGATCTTGAGCGTGTTCAACATCATCGTCAACAACTTCTGGACTGTAAGTCAAGAAATCGCACTCCTATCTGCGTATATGCTGATTGTTCCGCTAGCTACACCCGCACCACCCGCACAAAGATTTTGCAAAGTACGACTTCTTCCAGATCCTATCGATCGTGGGAGGGTTGCTGTTACTGGTCAACATGGGCCCGGGACAGTTCAGTGTGGACGAGAAGAAGAAGGTGTACTAGACGACTCTTCCTATGGGGACCCTAAGCATTGCGTTGCGCGCCGGGAACGCGCCAGGTTGGATCAAAAGTATCTAGATGCAGCCCATCCTCATGCCAAGAGGCATAACGATTTACAACTCCATTCTTCGTCCAGGATGAACACTCTTGGTCTGTAGCTTGACACTGACGATCGCACAATCTAAGATCATACACATCATAGCCATTGAGCCAATGTGATATGAGTTCTGTCGTACAACCACACATCTGCGCACGTGACAATCGCGCTATTCCTAATGCGCGGGCTTGAGCTTTAATGTTTCGACTTCGACCTCGACGTGTTGTGAATGTTGATCGATATACTTCACTTCCACATCAAGCAGAATGGCTCCAACAACACGTGCAGCGCGAAACACCACCTCTTTCAAAACAGTGCCAAACGGTGGCGGCGTGTTCAGAAAACCTATTCGAAAGCAGCATTCGAATGGCAAAGGCGCGTGGAAGTTCAACGACACAGACGACCACCACAATCACGAAGACCAGGACCAGGATGTTCGCGAATCTGTAGAGGTCCATCACGACGAGCCACTTCAGCAGCTGGACGGCGCCGGAGATATGGACGAGGTGGACGGAGTGGAGGAAGCTCTCCGACCGCTGCGCGAGACCGCAGACAGGGTTGGTCGTGAAGTCGAGGCATTCGCCGTCTCTTTCGATGAGTTCCTCATCGAGTTGCGCACGCGCGGGAACAACTACAGCGCGGCGCGAGACCTTGCGCAGACCTATAAAGCGTTCGCGGAC